ATTTTATATATATAGATAAGATATTTGTAAAAAAAAAAAAAAAAAAAGAATTGATTTTTTGGAAGGTTTCTTACTAAGTGCAATCGTCTGGTATAAAAGCCTATTTTAAAAGATATTTATTCATCTCAAGTAGTTTATTTTTAACTCTTGAGTAAAACACACAAAATATTTCACAATTAATATAGAATTTTCTAATTCTACATATATTATGAATGATAAAAATGAATAAAATTATATTTAACGATAATGTTCTTAAGAACTAACTAAAAGGAACACATATTAATTAATAAAAATAGCGTCTTAAAAATGGTCAAAATGTTTATAGTGAATTATGAATAGAATAAAATTAAATATATAATATATTATATGACGTATTAGTTTTATATAGAAGTTATTGAGCAAGCTGAATCTGTCAGTATCTGTTGCAATGACTTCTCTGAAACGGTGAATGTGAAATTTGCACAGGTCATTCTGGATGGTGTCATGTCAGGTGAATATAAGAAAACCTCTTTTCTGCAAGAATTTGGTTGAAGGATAGAGCAAAATGAACAACTCAAAAAATTATATATATATATGAAGTATCATTTCATACATTTCTCTCATTGGTAGTTCATTAAAAAAAATCAAAACTGTACGATGATTCTTTATTCATCTCGTTTTTGAACCACTTTTACGCCCATTTGTATATTTTCCATTTTAACGAATTTGGTACCAAACGAAAGCTAAGAGATCAAACCTTTTGATTATTATAATTATTTTGAATCTAAATCTTTAAATATTTGAAGATAAGGTGTAATTCTTACTACTTTTGAGATGTACCTTGTACAAACATTTACTCGGGCAAATACTGAGGGAAGCCTGTGTCCAATTAGTGTATATTTAGTATTAGAACCCTTTATTTTCATTATTGACTTCAATTCTTTCTATAAAAAAAGGTAGATCCGTTTATAACGAAATTTGTAACATTTAGAAAAAAAGGCCAACCACATACAACTCTAATAAAAGTTTAAAAACTAAATAAACCAATATTACAAATTCATAATGTTTATCTCACCAAGTGCATGAATTTTGATGTCATTTTAATTCATTCTTATTTTTTTGGTATTATGTAGACTTGATTTTAAATATTTTAGCATAAAAATTCCTTAGAAAATCTCCCAAGAAAGAAATCTGTCTAACGCCACCTCAGTAATTTGACTTCCACTGACATTGTAAATTAAACCAAGAAGACATAGATGACAGCCCGGGTAATTGGTGACTTCTTTACCTGGCTCCAGGAACCTACTGAGTTACTTAAATACATAATAATAGTATAAAAACATACAAAAAATTGGTCCATTATAGGATTACCTACAAACAGAATTTAGTTTTCATTCTTTAATGCAAATCATTCAAAACAGATTTGAAAAAAGCTCTCCTATATAGGATTCAATGAAAGAAAATCAAAATAAAAAATATGCGCTTTTTTTAACCTATGTTAAAAAAAAAAAAAAAAACAAGGAAGTGAATAATCAATTATAATAGAATATAGTAAATTAAATTTTAAAAAATACATCAATATCATTCTCGTCAAAATTTTGACTTAATGTACCATCAATTCAACATAGCATATTATGGATAGATAGAAAACTTTAAAAGTCAACTTTGTCAAATTCAGAGATCGACTTTGAAATTTCTTTTCTTGAGCAATGATGTTTCTCTTTAGGCATCTTTCATTCCATAAAAATTCCATCAAATCCTTTAAAGGGTTTATATATCAGAATATTTCTAAGACCTTGTAAGCATATTGCTTTCTTATATTAAAACTCAATCTCCCAAGCTTTCGGGTACTGTGAACTCTTCTACATGATTATTCAGAAACTTATCCTCGAGGACTGCGTTTAATTATAATTTAAAATCCAGAGGAATCTCTCGATTTTATTGCTTTTTTTTTTTTAGCTAAAAGAGATTTGATAAAAATGAAGATGTTGAAGGTGGGTTGGCGGCCATTATGGGAGGTGGTTGCCCTGACCAGACATCCTCCAGACACTGGGTGACTCAGGGTGACTCACCGCGCATGCGCCAAACCCCCCCAGACCGCCAAAAAACACCCCCCTTTCTCACATTGAGATTTCAACATCAGGAATCTTTAGAAAGAAAAAAAAACCTGATTGATTTGGAACAAACAGAACTGTGAAATTTGAGCGTACTTATTTGACTTGATCCCCTTCCTTTTTTATAATGTATTTGATGCATTTAGGAGAATGGATATTCAAATATTGAATTATATGCTTAATATTTTGCTATTGAAAGTAAATTATTAAACACTATTTATTAAGCATTAACATTCATTTTGTATATTTGATAAGCCCTTCAATTTGTTATGTGGTTGAGGTTTTCAAAATTATTATTACAGTCGAACTTGGATAATTCGAACCCCAAGGGACCATAAAAAAATTCGAATTATCCAAAAATTCGAATTAAAAACGGAAATTTTATTTATTTCAAATTCTAGGGACCAAGATAAATATTCGAATTAAAGAGGTTTTCGAATTAAAGAAGTTCGAATTATCCAAGTTCTACTGTATTAGTTAAAGCAAAATTAATTTGGGGGTCATTTTTCATAACTTCAAAATACCTTTCAATCCTCTCTTAAAAATTAGGTGAAAATTGTTATAAATAGATTGTTTTTTTATCGGTTGTTTTTAACCCCTCCCAAAATGAATATTCGGAAAGAACAAGTTTTTGGCGCCAAACGAAGAGGGAGACGACCTCAAAGCGCGGGGAAAAAATTGCGAGCAGACGATGTCGTAACTCAATTATTATTGTGAATATATTATTAATTTACGTGCATTTTTCAAAAAAATATTTTTAAATTAAAAAATATTTTACACAATATTTTCATTATCTTTTATATTCCATATTTACATATATATATATATTTTTTTCGCTTTATAAATTATTGTTATTAAAACTATATATATTTGTATAATATATATTCATTTATTTATCTTTATTTCGACTTAGAGCGCTATGTCCCCCTAGGGACACTTGCACTTTAAAGATAAACAAAATTTTGAAAGAAAAGAAAGAAATATATATATTATTTTCGTAGAATGAGATCTTTTTAATATAATTATTATTATTATATATCTATATATAAAATATAAAAAATACAAAAGATATTAATTTTTATCTATATTCTTTCTCTTTAATATTATATATATTTCATTTTAAGATTTTATAATATCAAACTTTAGAGGTAAAATGCATTTAAAATCGCCTGATTCAAAAGGATTCAACTGAGTATTTGGGATCCTTGTAACTACCACACATTCCAGTAGATGTAAAAGTATTTTGGTAGAGGTATTGCACATGTAGAGACGTGGTTTCCAGTAGATGTTCACACTTCCTTGTTGACGCCAATATTACCTGGTTGTAGACACTTCTATAAAATACATCCGCAAAATCTTACACCAATTTTACACATTAGTTTTTCTTCTGTTTTCTTAGGAGATGGGTTGAGAAAAAAAAAACATTATATCTATTTTTTTTCATTAAGGATGAAAAAGATTCAAAATTTTTCCTTTTCTTCGTGTTCTTTTATTTGTTTCTTTTTGTTCCTTTTGAAGAGAGTTCTTGATAATTAAGTATACACTTTAATTAAAAAAGATGATAATTATTTCAGAGGGGAATATATATCATAACATACACATGGGACTATTTGTGTGTTATCTTTTTTAACTCTGTATATACTTTTCTCGGCTCCTTTCAGTAATCTTATTCAAAAATGTTAAAATGCGGTAATTCGTAAAACAATATTTGTTATATTAGCTTAATATTATCCCTTAGATGTAAAAAAGTTCATATATTCTAAAATTATTTTGAGTTATCTATAAAATTATAAGGGTTTCTTTTTAACGCCATTTTCCTCATATATTTATATATTTTACATCGAATATAAGTTGAATATACACACACATAGCAATTACAAATTTAAATAAAAATTGTAAAACTATTTCATATTTACATTTTTTAAAATCAAATCTTATCTCTTTCTTTAAAATGAGTTACTATTGGGATGAAAAATTAAAATATATAGATAGGATTTTCATAATTAAAATTTAAGCTAATATGTAAATATGGAATATTTTAAAATAAATAAAGCTTCCAGGGTTAAAGTTTCTTGTTTAAATTTTTATTTTCAAGCTTTCGGACTTGTGTTAGTCCTTCTACAGGATTATCACGATAATAAATTGATGATATATATATACTATTTTTATATAAAATTAATTTTTACATATTTTAAATATTTATGATATTGAAAGGGGGAGAAAATATATATTACATTCTTTCAATATCATTAATATTTAAAATATGTAATTATATTTATATTTAATTTATATGTAATATTTATATTTAATTATCGTGATACTCCTGTTGAAGGACTAACAAGTCCAAAAGCTTGAAAATAGGAAAATTTGAACAAGAAACTTAACCCTGGAAGCTTTATTTATTTTATAATATTATAAATCAGGGAAGAACGTTTATTTATAATCAAGAGTTAAAATATGGAATAGTTTGAGCATTCACACACACAACACACAAAGGATCTTTCACTTTAACACATTTTAAACTTCAAAATATATAAGTACACACATAGATAGCGGTACATGTTTACATAGTATCTAGCTAGATCAAGATATAGGTGAAAATGGATGAAATGAAAGATAAAGGAATCCCCCCATCCCAAATGGATGTTTGTGGCCTCCAGTAGTTCAGAGATTAGACAACAACTAACACTGAAGGAATGTGTGTCAAGGCAAGAATACGTTAAGATAGTCAACGAGGTTAGGTTTGGTTAGAGGCCTTACTTGTAAAACTGTATTTCATCATCACCTCTACCTAAACACGGAGGTTTTATATTAGAGAACTACTTTTGCATATTTTCTTTATGTCATCTATTTTATGATTATATTTCATATGTATCCATTACATAAAACGATATAGTTGTTCATTCTTTTTTTTTTTAGGATTCCAAGTATCTTTATTGAATAGCCATAAGATCTTTCGATACCATATATGTATGTATGTATATATGTTTAGAGAAAGTTATGGCTGAACGCCAAACTTTATCAAGGTATTATAACATATTAATATGTGTCACCAACAAACTCAGCGCCACATACGTCAACAGAATTAAGTTTTAAGAATATTTTGCTTATATACCATGGGGAGAAAAAGAAAATTGAGAATGTCTGGAGAAAGTTATCTTACCTCCTCCCTTCTTGCTTCCCAAACCTCCCACTGTAGGCTCGAAAGGAAATCATTCCACATTTAAGCTGTATTGAGTGATTTCTAAAAGATTTTATTTAACTTGCTTCCATATCTGTCTTCTATAAATCTTGTAATTAATTTACTTACATAGCACACCAATGTGTTTGAAATTTGGTAGACTTGCTTAAACCCGATGACAGTGCAATTTACAAAATTCTAGACTTCTGATTGGTCGGCGCAATTGACAATTTTCTATATTTATTAACATTGTAAGACAAGATGAAGATCTGAGTGTCCATACAGAACTTTTTTATGATCGATAAATCTTTCATGACAGTTGATATAAAGGTTTGCAATATTCTAAGTGAAAGAATGAGGTCATTGGATGTTAAAAACATGGCAGATTGATTTCACACCTTAAAAAATCACTTTCTCTTGTCATTTTCCCCCAAGAGAACCAATTATATGGTAGATATTCTTAAAAAAGAATGTTCATAGATTAGCATGGTCAATTTAATTAAATTTTTGATCAATTTCCTTGTTTTTCTTATATGATCTATTTCTATGTCTTTAGGAATAGTATTACTAACTGAAAAAATAATCTGACATTTCTTATCCGAAAAAAAAAAGGTGGATTAACAAAATCCAATATTTTAGTTACTGGTCACTCTTTTCCTTTTATGTATATTCCATACTTTAGTTCACATTCCTATGGCTAAATTGTTCTTAGCCATATATAACCTATATTTATAGAAGATAGTTCTTATCTATTAGCATAATGATAACAGAGAAAAATAATAAACCTTGAAATTAAGACAATGATAATCTCTCTATTCGTTATAGAAGAAAATACACAAGTCAGGGGAGAAGAGATTATTTTGTACGAGAACGATCGTACAAGTCCGTAGAAAGGCGTCTTGTCCGAAGGTTTGATGATCGTCCTCGTATAGAAGAGGCTCTTCTCCCCGACTTATGTCGTACAAGTCCGCAGAAAGGCGTCTTGTACGAAGGTTTGTACGATCATCCTCGTATAGAAGAGGCTCTTCTCCCCGACTTATGTCGTACAAGTCCGCAGAAAGGCGTCTTGTACGAAGGTTTGTACGATCGTCCTCGTATAGAAGAGGCTCTTCTCCCCGACTTATGTCGTACAAATCCGTAGAAAGGCGTCTTGTCCGAAGGTTTGACGATCGTCCTCGTATAGAAGAGGCTCTTCACCCCGACTTATGTCGTACAAATCCGTAGAAAGGCGTCTTGTCCGAATGTTTGTATGACCGTCCTCGTATAGAATAGGCTCTTCTCCCCGACTTATGTCGTACAAGTCCGTAGAAAGGCGTCTTGTCCGAATGTTTGTACGATCGTCCTCGTATAGAAGAGGCTCTTCTCCCCGACTTATGTCGTACTAGTCCGTAGAAAGGCGTCTTGGCCCAAGGTTTGTACGATCGTCTTCGTATAGAAGAGGCTCTTCTCCCCGACTTATGTCGTACAAGTCCGTAGAAAGGCGTCTTGTACGAAGGTTTGTATGACCGTCCTCGTATAGAAGAAGCTCTTCTCCCCGACTTATGTCGTACAAGTCCGTAGAAAGGCGTCTTGTCCGAATGTTTGTATGACCGTCCTCGTATAGAAGAAGCTCTTCTCCCCGACTTATGTCGTACAAGTCCGTAGAAAGGCGTCTTGTCCGAAGGTTTGTACGATCATCCTCGTATAGAAGAGGCTCTTCTCCCCAACTTATGTCGTACAAGTCCGTAGAAGGACGTCTTGTCCGAAGGTTTGTACGATCATCCTCGTATAGAAGAGGCTCTTCTCCCCGACTTATGTCGTACAAGTCCGTAGAAAGGCGTCTTGTCCGAAGGTTTGTACGATTGTCCTCGTATAGAAGAGGCTCTTCTCCCCGACTTATGTCGTACAAGTCCGTAGAAAGGCGTCTTGTCCGAATGTTTGTATGACCGTCCTCGTATAGAAGAAGCTCTTCTCCCCGACTTATGTCGTACAAGTCCGTCGAAAGGCGTCTTGTCCGAAGGTTTGACGATCGTCCTCGAATAGAAGAAGCTCTTCTCCCCGACTTATGTTTCATCTTCTAAACGTCTCTCTATAATCGTTTATAATCCTTAACCTAGGCTGTCAAAGTTTCTATCTCATCAAATAAGAGAAAAGAGCAAAATTGAAAGAAAAAAAAAAAAAAGAAAATCAGAGAGTTCAAATTTTTTTTACCAAGGCAGTGACCTTGAACCCCAACATACTTATATGTATATATGTGTATTTATATTAGATAATTAATAGATATAGTGTATTATTTTGTATTGAATATATGCAAATTATTTTGAAGAAAAAAAAAAGAACGTCGAAAAGAAACTGGCTCAGTATTGAAATGGTGTTTCTAGAGAGAATTATGAAGTACATTGATATATATTGTATGGAAATATAAAAGGTATATTCTATCACTTTTTATTATATATTCAATATTTAGGGAGAGTGAGTATCGTATTAAGAATAAAAATTCTAACTTTCAATTTGTTCTTAATCTTTCAATACCAGGAGTTTAGTCTATTTAAAGAATTTTGTACAAGATAGTCTTTTTAATCACTAAATTTTATCTAAATGGAACATTATAAGACAGCGCTATAGGATAAAATACATATAATCTGGTAAGACCATTCTCATCTGTTTCTTCTTTTTCTTAGAATCATTCTTCAACACAAATTTTATCCCTAAGTGCCTGTTCTCATTTTTCACCATTCTGCTGTGCATCACATTGAAGATTTCTTCAAGATGTGTGTTCTACTCTATCATAAGTTCTTCTTTCTTTCAAACACACAACAGAGAGTTGTTGTTGTCGTGTCCAACGAAGAGCCTCAGATGTCTCCATGCATCTCTATCACAGCAGCAGCAATACTACAGAGAGTAGAGGGGCTATTGAAGCCTTCAAATTTCCATAGGCAAGATCCTTCAATTGAAAAGTTAAAGCGTTCAAATTGATTTAATTTCCTCTTTAAACCATTCCAAATATTATTCCTGTTCTCTTTTCGATTATTAAAATATTTTGTACCCTTATCTATCAATCATTTTGTTATATAGAAGCATCACTTTTTGTCAAGTTTTTCATCTGAAATTCAAAAGACTAAAATTTTATTCAAACATGTTTTTATGTACATATGTATTTGAATATATGTGTGTGTGTGAATTTATATATATAAGTTTTTTGTATATGTGTATGCTTCCTTTATGCAAATGTATATATGTGTGGTTATATGCATGCGTGTATATTACGAGTTTATTAAGTCATTTTGGCTGAAAAATCATTATTACTACTTCACCACACAGCAAATGCCTTTTTGGATGATTGAAACGATTTCATATATATTTGCATCTTAGTTTCTCTGTAAATCGAAGCTGTTCTTGTCTTAGTGATGGAGCCATGTCCAGTGAGTATCATTTAAGGATAGCGAGATTTCCCAAATTTGATCATAATCTGGTGTTGGGCCAATATTGGAATATACAAGATTTGAACAAAGAAGTTCGAATTGGCTCCATATCCTGGTGTTTCGATAAAAGAAGACTATAAATAAAAAGCTCAGAATCCATGCTGATTTTATCTTTATCCTTCATATTGTAGTTGTTGTATCGCCTAACAAGCGTGTACTATGGGAATAGCCTTAGGAAAAGCAAAATCATCTGCAATACATATGAATGAAAACCAAAACATCTTCCAAAGGTGAGTTCCTTACTTTATTTTATATTAATCTCAAGCTTTCGGGTATCACAAACCTTTCTACAAGATGAGATTTCATCATATAACCCTGTAAAAGGATTTGAATTACCCGAAAGCTTGTGATGATTATACAATAAAGCTTGAAGCTCACCCTCGGAAGCTGTTTTGGTTATCATGTATATGTATTGGAAAGAATTTTGATTTTACTATGGCTATCCCCATAGTACAGGCTTGTTAGGCGGTACAACTACGATAGGAAGGATAAAGAGAAGATTAGTATGGATCCTGCGCAAGGATGACATGCAAAATCGTGAAGCGTTCCATTTCGTTCCATAGCTATGTGAACTCTGCTAACTGTCGAAGAGGAGGAAGATCTACAGAACTATGCAACTACGTCGGGACAACTTCAGATAGACCCAATCCCTTCTGCCTCTTGTGCCGAACCCGTAGAATCGAACTTGTGGTCAATTTATCACAAGCTCGGATGTACGGGCACGGGACGGGAGGCATGTCGCGACATGGGGACAACTGGTCATCGCTTCTGCAAGCTGAGACTCTGTATATAGTGACATTTTGTAAGTTATCACTGTGTGTCTATCTACATAGCATGCTGCTTCCCCACTTCCTGTCTATCACACACACATATCTGTAGCCATTATATGTTCTTTCTATTGTGTAAATAATCTTAATAAAGAAAAACTTATTGCCATTATCTTGATTGACATATTGTATTTAAACCTTTGCTATTAGTTTAAGAATCTTTAGTCACATAAATATGTATTATAAATATAAATGAATATATATACATAGTTTCTTTTTACAAACTTTCGTATTGATTTTATATTTCGCTGATAGCTACTTTTTAATTAATTGTATATTTTCGATTGATCAATATAGCGCCTGTGACACACAATATATACAACCTCGCTAAAACGAACCAGGGATATAGCGAACCCTCCCTTATAACCAACCTGAAATAATCCCTATTTTATAATACATTGAACTATAGCTATAATGAACCATGGCTATATTGAACCATAGGTTGAGTTCCATTGGGGTTCGCTATAGAGGGGTTTTACTATATTTATATAACTAGCTATTACGAAGCCTAATGGGACTGAGCTTTTGGTTCACTATAGCCATGGTTCAATCTATGGTATCACTAATATTGGGGATTATTCTAATTTCTTTATAATGTGGATGGTTCGCTATATCCTCGGTTTCTCAATTTTTGTGATAGTTGTACTGTAAACAGTTTTATGTGTTTTAAACGGGGAAAAATTACATCGGTTCACTACATTTTCCGAAATAAATCCAATTCCGAATGAAATATTTAGCTAAAATGATAGTTACAATGATATAATGCTATAATGATTGTTACAAGATATTTAAATTATACAAAATAAAGATAAAATGATAGATACTTCTCCAATGAATTAAACCCAATATATTCTGTTAACGTAAGATATATGGTAATTCCAACAGAAATCGAAAGTTTAAAAAAAAAAAAAAAAACGTTTTTGATAACCAATCGCATCCTATCTCAAGGTTTCTTGAACTCCCTTTATCAAGCCATGATAAGACATCGGGTTGTAACCTAACAAAGGAATGCCTTGCAATGTCAGATTCTCGTTGCTCACACACAGTTGTCATAAAATGAAATTACTAATTGGTTCCCCCTCTCCTCATTATCCACTTCTAAAAATAAACATTCAACACAACGGTAAACAGGAAAGTTCATTTGTTGCCACTTTTGTTCGGGGGGTAATTTGTCACAAGGAATTTGTTCCGAAAACTGAGTTGTTCTCTACTCGATCGTCTATAGTTTAGGAAAAAAGCAGTTAAGTTATATAACTGAAAATTAGGTACGCGTGCAAAAGGTGATATTCTTATTTCAACAAAGATAACGACATAATATAGTTTGAATTCTATATGGTAATAAGATTTTCTTCTTCTTTCTAATCTCCTCTCAATCATTTTTTTAGATGTCCGTGGAACTTTATGATTGAAAAAGCGAAATAAATAGTTCTTCTTTATTCATTAAGAATGGGAATACTCCTCAGTAGCTGATTAGCCTTCAATATTAAATAGTTGCCTCTGCAAGGAGGAACGGACATTCTATGCAGCCGCTTCTAACTTTGAGTACCGAAGTTGTTCATCCTGTGTTCCTGGAACAGAAGTTCTTACAATGTACTATCAGCAAGGCCATCTGAGCTTAGGTTTTTGTTTCTTCTTCTTTCTTATCTCCACTCAATCACACTAAAGTATCAAGCTTGTAAAGCTTGAGACTTTTGATGGTGTCTGCTGGGGAAGAGTAGAGCTCATAGGTTTTTTTTAGCTAACTAGAGTAAAACCTTGCTAAAACGAACCAAGGATATTGCGAACCTTCTATTATAACGAACCTTAAAAATATAATTTCTATATATATTTAAAAATACAGTGAACTCTATGGATATAATGAACCATTGCTATAGTGAACCAAAGGTTCAGTTCCAATTGGAGTTCACTATAGAGAGGAAGGTTTTACTGTAGTTACTGCTCCTCTTCATCTTTCTTAATCCGGGCTTGGGACCGGCAATGTCGAAATTTTCCAATAAGGTAACAAACGTGGCAGGATCAGATAATTCAAGATGGTTATATTTCTTGGCCAGTACTCGTGTACACTTGCAAAAAAAAAATCTTTCCGAGGTGACAATATGCAACTGAAGATCAAATTAGTGTTAACTAAACGAGACAATTTGTTAGCAGACAATTATAATAGGAACAATAAACCAGATATATAAATAGCTTTTACAAAAAAAGCAGAATTAATGCTCGAATGATTGAATCATTGTTGATGGCCAAACGTAACGGAAGACAAGAGAATGGCGGAGATTTTGACAATACCAAAAGAATAAAAGGTAACGTCGCTACATCCTTTTTATTTATTATTAAAAAGAAATTACAGAAAATTTCGAAAAGCTCTTTATCAGCTTGGTGTATATTGTAGTCAAATTGTTTTGTGATAGCTAGTGAGATAAAGAGAGAAAATAGAGGCAACCCGAGCTCCTGGAGCATTCTAGTGAGATATACAAACTCGCCTTATCTATCCAAGCGCGCATTTATTTATTAAACTATTTTACTTATAATGTATGCATCAAGGTGATAAAGAACTTATATGAACGTTTCTGTAATTACTTTTAATAATTAAATTTCAAAAGATTCAGTGTTGCGCTCTTCATTCTTTTGTTCGTACTGCCTAGATGGGTATTCAATAACAATTCAATGAGCAAATAATTTCTGCCATTCGGATGATGATATATGGAGGATTGTAGAAAGATAGTGCAGACGACTGTATGGAGCTGTGAGGTGGAAGGGTGTAATGACCGTATATACAGCAGTAGAGATAAGGTTACAAAAGTCAAAGTCTGACCTCTTGACCTCCCCGCAGCTGGAGTAGACACCTGCTCTGGACACACTACTGGCCGTTACCTACCCTATCTACATATACCACCGCCATCTACACTTCTTTCTCTCTACCCTTTCCATCTACAATATTTATCTTGAAACTGTTGATTTGGATGATAACTCTTTTGTTTAATTTCTTCTATTTGTTGTTGTTGTGTTTTCGTGTTCAATGAAGAGCCTCAGATGTCTCCATGCATCTCTATCACAGCAGTCGCAATATTCTCTATCTTGGGCGTGTAAAGCTGCTGTTTTGGGTCCATGTCAATTTTCTGTTGTTATTGTTGTGTTCAATGAAAAGCCTCAGATGTCTCCATGTATCTCTATCATAGCAATGGCCTTTATCTTGGATGTGTAAATCTTCTGTTCTGGGTCCATGTCAATTTCTGTTGTTATTGTTGTATCCAATGAAGAGCTTCATATGTCTATATGCATCTCTATCACAGCAGCAGCAATGTTATCTTTTTTGGATGTGTAAAGCTGCTGTTCTGGGTCCATGTCAATTATCTGTTGTTGTTGTCGTTTCCAATGAAGAGCCTCATATGTATCCATGCATCTCTATCACAGCAGTCGCACTCTATCTTAGTTGTGTAAAGCTGTTGTCCTGGGTCCAGGTAAATTATCTGTTGTTGTCGTCGTTCCCAATGAAGAGTATCAGATGTCTCCATACATCTCTATCACAGCAGTCGCAATGTTCTCTATCTTGGGAGTGTAAAGCTGCTGTTCTGGGTCCATGTCAATTATCTGTTGTTGTTGTCGTGTCCAATGAAGAGCCTCATATGTCTCCATGCATCTCTATCACAGCAGTCGCAATGTTCTCTATCTTGGGAGTGTAAAGCTGCTGTTCTGGGTCCATGTCAATTTCTGTTGTTATTGTTGTGTCCAATGAAGAGCTTCAGATGTATCCATGCATCTCTATCACAGCAGTCGTAATATCCTCTATCTTAGGTGTGTAAAGCTGCTGTTCTGGGTGCATGTCATTTTTTGCAAGGCTGCGGTCATTGCTGGGCATGAGAACATGTGGGTAGGTGTTAGTTCCACTCCAGGACAACTAGTTCTTCTCTTTGTCATATCAGTATGATTTATTTTCCTTTTTTTTTCAGAAACATTGAGCGCTCTTTAACATTAATGCTAAAGGATGTTCCGAAAATATGTAAAACCTATTTTTCACTTCTGTATTTAAAAAATAATTTGCTTTATTACCGTTTAAAATTCTTAACTGAGGTTTTATTGTTTGTTATATATATGAAACAAATGAAAACACTCGCGTCTTGATGTTTTCATTTGTTATATTTATATAGATGGCGCGTTATTGCTTTTCAAATCATATATCTTCTCTAGTTTCTTGTATTCGCGTGATGGCCTATTGAAGGACCTAGGTGTTAGAAAGTTCGCAGCTCTTAAATAAAGAAAAAAACTCGTGGCTTTTGCCTTTGGTCTCTTCCAACAATGACATCCCGCGATTCCTTCTGTCGTTACAAAAGAAATGTTTACAACTTGATCCTAAACAAGGGAAAAGTTAACTATCATTCATTTATATACAAAAAATGACAAGTTTTTATCGATTTTTGACCATCTAACGAATACTACAGCTAAGATAATAAGCAATGAACTTTTTTTTTGTGCCAAACGAAGCGCAATGGTACCAAATTCGTCTTATTTGCGTAACCACATGGTGTAACATCCCAGACGATCTGTTGTAATCTTTTTTTTCTTCTTCTTCTATTGCGGGATTCCTGACGTGCCAATCTAGACGTTACTAAACTATGTCTGACCTAAGTGCTTGTTAATAGTCAGTCGCCATCCACCCTCCTTCTTTTCTTATAGGCTTTCTTCCATAGGTTCAATTTAATATATTTTCTTGAAATTATCCTTATGCATGGTGAGTTAGACGTTAAAGAGAGAGATTTTAGAATAAAGATAAGCTTATATATATATATGTCATAATATATACTTTTCCAGGAATAATAAAGCCAACCTACAGACAACTCAGAGAGAGACGAGAGGGTATAGTCCTGTCACTTAATACAACAGCGACATTCCAAGGGGCGACCACTGGAGCCCGTCAGTTAACACCTTGGGACTTTTAAGACAGTTGGGGATTGTGTGCGACACCAACGGCCGCCCGGCTGTGCCCGGACAGTCTCTCTCTCTCTGGTTGTCTGGGTTTCTCTTCTAACTTGTGGTGTGATTCTTTCTCCATCTTTTATACTACATATATATATAAAGAGATAGATGTTATAGAGAGTAAAATTGGGGTTTAAAAATATATAGAATTATCGTCAGTTCTAGTTGTTTAAGCTCACACGACGTATGTTACGTTGTTTCAATATTTCTATCCTATAAGAAGGTCAAAGCTCTTAACTTTTAAGTATGGAAATTTGAATGGATTTACACATGTATAGACTTGTGGTGTCTGAGGAGTAACTCCTATCTCTACACCAGGATGGTAACGGAATAAGCATCACCAGAAGAAAATACACCAAAGAGTTTCCTAAAAGTTGGTTTCTGGAAAGAGGTGAAAAATCCTAATATTTCAAGACCATATAAGAATCACTAGGAGAAAGAACATCAAACACGTTAATTACTGGAAAGACGTAAAAAAACATGATTTATTGAATTTCAAACAAGCATCACTTGAAGGAAGAACATCAAATAGGTTTACAGAGATTGTTTTCTGGAAAGAGCTGAAAAGCATAATTTCTAGGCTTCCAAGCAAGCGTCACAAGAAGAAAGAATACCAATAGATTTCTAAACGTTAGTTTCTAGAAAGAGGTGAAAAAGGCTGGATTTTTAGATTTTCAAACTTCACTCTAAAAAGAGAATAACAAATGGAAAGTCCTATAAAAGTCAGTTTCTATAAAGAGGTTTTCATCAGGCTGTCAAAAAAGCCTCACAGTAGAGAACACCTAATATAGATTTCTAAAAGTCAGTTTCTAGAAAGAGGTGAAAAATCAGGATTTCTAGATTTCGAAACAAGCATCACCAAAAGAGAGAACATCAAATATAGATTCCTGAAATCAGTTTCTAGAAACCCGTTTTCACGAGAATTTCTAGACATTCAAAAATCATCACCAGAATAGAGAAAATCATGTATAGATTTATAAAAGACAGTTTCTAAAAAGAGGTTTTCACCAGGATTCCTAGACTTTCAAAAAGCATCACCAGTAGAGGTAGATCACCAAATAGAGATTCCTAAAATTCAATTTCTAGAAAGAGATGATAAAGCAGGATTTATAGACTTTAAAAAAGCATAACCAGTAGATAGAAAACCAAATATAGATTCCTAAAAGTCAGTTTCTAGGAAGAGGTTTTCACCAGGATTTCTAGATTTTCAAATAATCATCACCAGAAGAGAAAGAACATCAAAGAGAGATTCCTAAAAGTCAGTTTCTAGAAAGAAGTTTACTCCAGGATTTCTAGACTTTCAAAAAAAGCATCAACAGTAGATAGAACACCAAATAGGGATTCCTAAAAGTAATTTTCTAGAAAGAGATGAAAAAGCAGGATTTTTTAGACTTTAAAGTCCTCCAACACAAAACGGTCTAGGACTGTAGACGATCTACTCTATTTCGGTGTATTGTCTAGCCGTCTAGACCAGTCTTCATCTTGAGAGGCCAGCCAATAATTGACGTCCCACAATTCCATTGTAGCAAGCCTAATGCTCCAGTCGCGTGATGCAACCAGGTCGTTGCCCTACTTGGCGGCACGTGGCTCGCGCCGGAATCCTCGCAGACGCGCGCTTCCTGGCAGACACGTCTGATACTAAATTTGCTTATCTCATTCACATTCTTATCAATATGTTCTTTATTTACACTTTTGTTGGAGATATGCAACTGCTATCTCTTGTTTTGTTTTTCCGTGTTCACCACCTAAAATATTCGGAGTCGTTTTCAATCCATCGGAATTCCTTGAAAGTGGTTGGATACCCGTGATTTCAAATATTTTATTGAAAGCCCGGCTTTAGTCGATTATTGGAAAGACTTAGGAACACTAATCCTGCTATTTTATTTGAAATATTGGTTCCCGTCCATGGTATATTATGGGTAAACGCATTTTCAGTATTAGTTGTCCTGTTTCTCCCGCTTGGTTAAATGATTTCTATACACATGCATGTTCAAAATCAGGCGATTTTCTATCTTAGTTCAAGCTAAGGATTGTTGTGAAAAAAATGCATAAATTTTCTTTATATTATTATATTTTTAACGATAAGCAAAAATAATTTGGATTGGTGAGATATTGGTGGGAGATATTCCTTTTCTTTTTCTTAAGCTTTCTTTTTCTCTCTATTCATATATATATAAGTACACTTTATAAAAACGATAAGATATGGTATCCCCCCCCACCCCACGCATTCTATTAGCAGTATATAATAAAATAAACAGTATACATTAGAATTACAAGTTAATGAAAAGTAACAATGCTTATAAAAATAGGTATTGGAATTCAGCACAAATGAAAAAAAAAAAGAATATTATAGTGAAGCATATAAAAAAAAAAATACTCGCATGGAACTTAAAAAAAAAAATTATGGGTTTAAAAATTTCCTAGAAAATAGAAAAGTAGTGTGTAAATTTTAATAAATATATTATGGAGAAAAATATTAGAAAGTTCACAATTTATCCGTATATAACGTAATTTATCATCAATGAGTATTTACTTTTGAAATGAAGGCGATAAAAACGTGGTGCTTTTCTTTTAATAGTAAAAAACAAGCTTTCAGGCAAGAATGCCCTTCTTCAGGTTACAACTTGGCATTATTTTAAAACTATGGACATGAAAGATAGCCAAATGAAGTAGGTAAACAGTTCAGCTGGGGGGATCGGCGAGGTAAAACACGGAGTATTGGGGTGGGAGTATTTACTTTGTCTGCGACTAGCCAAAATAAATATATTTGACCACACAAACCTTTCCCTTATTTATGCGGCCACCTATGTTGACAGCTGTATTTTTAACACATACAACTTCTAATTTTAAAAATAGGCGCAGAGAGGTGCGCAAAGCAATAAATTTGAAAACAAATTGAGCGGCTAGGAAGCAGACGATAAGAAAAAAGGCGCCAAAAAGGCCAATGATTTAAATAACATCGTATTTTGTGGAATTGATATTTATTTTTAATTTAATTTTTTCCTGATGAATAATAATATCATTATATATTATATATATATATAGACAATTGAATTTATATATAATTTATTATTGTTGACTTTTTCATATTTCTATCCTTATTTATATATTTTTATGATTTAATTTTAAAATGACTCTCTCTTTTATAATATTTTAAATGATATAATAAATATTATATTGTATAGAACTTTAAACGTATTTTAGTATTATTCATTAAAATATTTTTATAAGCTTTATTATAAATTATAGTAAAAAAAAAAAAAAAACAAAGTTTTATTTTTTTTCGATAAAGAGTTGTGCGGAAAATATTTAAAATAATTTACACAGTTAAAAAAATATTTTTTAAAATATAACCAAAAAATAAAAAGATTGTGTTGAGAATAATAAACTTACAAAATAATATCTTTTAAACTTGTTTTATTATAACTATAATTAAATCGGATTATTCTATGATTTAAAAAATACTTTATAAATAAATAATACTTATTTTGGCTAGATAATTAATACAGAATAAATTCAGAACAAATTATTTTCAATTTTGAGCACAATAAAGTATATATTATTGCTATATTTCTTAAGTAAAATCTATAACATTAGGCGCTCAAACTTTTTTTCTTATCCAAATGATGTGTGTAATATTTAAATCCAAATATAAAATTATATCAAATCAATTTATTCCAAATAAAACAATGAAAATATATCGTTTAAAATATTGTCGCAATTAAATGAATAGAGGTACACACAAGAGCTATTTCAGCAGGTTTTATTATTAAATTAAGGATCGAAAATTGAGTGATATCTTTCTCACCTTTTATCTAAAGAAAAAAAAAAAGGAAATATCTACAGTTACAAAATCTACATAACATCGAACCATTAAAATATTCACATATATATTTAATAATTGAAAAATTACTTTGATTTCACTCTAAACAAATTTCGCGACAATATTATTATCTTATTATGATTCGAAAACCTATTTTAATTTCTCTAATAACATCATTTTTATGTGAGCAATGGTTACCCAGAAATTATTTGAAAGAGGAATTATTTAATTAAAATTACCAAAGAAGTTAAACAACAAAACGCAGTTATATAGGAAAAAGGCATGAACAGAAACTCTTGTATTTAATTAAAAGAAACTTTTTAACCTGATTTTTATTTTTTCTCTTTCAAACATATTATCATTAAAT